CATTGATCGGCTGCCTCCTGCACGCCCCCACTGGGGATGGAGCCCGAAACCCGGGCATGTGTCCTGATCAGGAATCAAATNGAGTCATTGATCGGCTGCCTCCTGCACGCCCCCACTGGGGATCGAGCCCGAAACCCGGGCATGTGTCCTGATCAGGAATCAAACCCGATCGATCACCTGGATCCTAAGTCGATGCTCAACCGCTGAGCCACACCCGGCCGGGCTCAGCCTCTAACTTTTGAGAACTTCTAGAAATCTCCTCCTCATGGACCTCTTGATCATGCCCAAAGGGGATCTAGTGAACAAAGGCTGGTGACTGCCTCCCCAGTGCTCTGAACCATCAGGGTCTTAGGAGCCTCTGAAATATGCCTCTAGGGCATGCCTCATGGAGGTGTGAATTCCAAAACACTTGGAAAATGTCCTTAGAAGCAAAAAAATAAATAAATAAAAATTAGACAAGATTGCACATTGAGGGGAGGGGTCCGCAATCATAATTCCATATTGTATTAAAAAGACGACAGGAAGAAACTGTCAACTATCTACCACATATTGTCATCAGACACAGAGATGACTGCTTAGGGTTCTAAACTTCAATGCATTTACTTGAGCAAGGTTTTCAACAAAAACCTATACAATACCTCCCAAATCAAGATTCTCCAGGTATAGCTTCATAACTGCCTTCGCTCACTGGGTTCTGGGCAACCCTGTCTTCAAAACTAAAAGAAAGCATCTACATGAAGGACACCATGCTTCTTCGGCTTTCCCCCACCCCAAGTGCTTAACACAGTGCTTGAAACATAATACGTGCTCAATAATGTGTCGAGTAAATGTGGTATACATGAAATTCAAGTTTATAAGAATAACAAAAATTAAGAGGTAATTACTTGCTTTGCAAAGATTTACAGTAAGTCCTTTGAGGAGTCAACAATTATGTGTAAGCCGAATCCTGTATTTTAAAATTTCATTTGTGTCCAACTTTTCTAATCAAACATCTATTGTATGAAGTGACTGATCCACATGCCATACAGCTCCTTCACCTAAAAATAAAATAAACAAGAGAAAGGGATGTTCTTCTTTCCAGAAGAATGACAACTAATTATGAAAAAGAAATGATAGCATTAGAAAATAAGCACTTTGCATAGCTCCCAACATATGTTCTTCAGGACAGTGTCTTCAAGGGGCACTAAAGCCATACGGTAAAAAACTGGGAACAAGACATTCACTCCCAAGGTGTGGAAACCTCGCTCCACAGATTTCTAGTTGCAAAAGAATAATGTATCTTATCTCTGGAGAGTTTCAGAAAGTCTCAAAGTATTTCTTTAAAGTATCTTTACAACAAAAGCTCCGGAAGTGATTTAAAAATATGTATCTTTATAATGGAAAGTTCTGGAAGCAATCAAAACATGAGAATACAGGCAAACTACTAACAACTGGCATGGAGTCTTCACGTTACTGTCATGAAAATCCAAAAAGAGAAAGCTAAAGGAAGCTGAGAAATTGTCCTAGTTTGAAGGAGACCAAGAGACATGGCCACAAAATGTAATGCTTGACCTGTGACTGGGCCCTGCAGGTTAAAATAAACCATTACTGATAAGATACTGGGGAAGTAAAGCCTATAATTTAGTGAACAGTAATGTACCAATGTCAATTAATTTTTGACAACTGAACCAAGGTTATCAAAGATGTTACCATAAGGGGAAACTGAGTGAAGGGTATACAGGAGCTCTATGTTACGGATGCAACGTTTCTGTAAATCTGAAACTATTCCAAGGTTTGGAAAAAAAGTTTTAATGTGTGTTTAGAGAGAGGGAAAGCAAATGTGGCAAAATGTTAACAACTGGTAAATTAGCTGACAGGTATATGGATGTTTACTGGCCAATTCTTTCAACTTTTTGTAGGCTTAAAATTTGTCAAAATCAAATGTTAAAAGAAAATAAAGCTACCAAAAGTTATCAGTAAAAGGATGGTAAACGATATTCCACATAAACACTAACCCAATAAAAACTAGTGCTGTTATGTTGATGTCAGACAAAGTAGCCTTTAGGCAAAACATATTTCTAAAAATAGAGAAACATTCCCTAGTTAGAAAAAGTTCCATTTACTGAGGAGACAACAAAATCCAAATTTATATGTGCCTAGTAACACAGTACCAAACTATAAAATAAAAACCATTTTAACTGTAAGGGAAAAAAGTAAATCCATGGACAAAGAGATTTTAATTTTAGTATACCTCTAAAAATCGAGTACACTGATAAAACAGTATGATTTGGATTTGAACAGTTCCATCTGCAACTATAGCCGAGTGCACAGAGATTCTACAATCGCAGAATACACATTCTTTTCAAACTCACCAGGAACGTGTATAAAAACTGGGTCACATCCTGGCCGTAAGCTTGTCTTCATGGGAAGAGGCATGAGGCAGGTTTCGGAGGCGCTGGCTTCTGCTCCTTGACTGGGTGGTGATTATACAGATTCTGCTTTGTTGATAAATTGGTGTGCTGTTGTTCATTTTTTGTGCGTATCTTACACATTTTGTGTGTATGCTATATATATGCTATTGCTCACTTTTTGTGTGTGTCCATTACATTTCACAGTTTAAAAAGAGTTAAAATAGCCCGGCCGGCGTGGCTCAGCGGTTGAGCATCGACCTAGGATCCAGGAGATCGCGGTTCGATTCCCGGTCAGGGCACATGCCCTGGTTGCAGGCTCCATCCCCAGTCGGGGGCGTGCAGGAGGGAGCTGACCAATGACTCTCATCATTGATGTTTCTCTCTCTCCCCCTCTCCTTCCTCTCTCTGAAATCAATAAACACACATTTAAAAAAGAAAAAAGAGTTATAACCCTTTAGGAAGGGACGAATCTCCTAACAATACAATAAGCCCAATGCAGCCTGTTTCTCCTTAAGCATTTCAATGAATGGCTGTTTTTTTAGCTGAGCACCAGATGAAGTAACGGCTTCTGCTTACAGGCTTCCTCATATAACACCTATGTGCCTTTAAACACAAAAGGCATATTCAGTCCACAAGATGCTCACTCAGAAACACTCCGGAAGGGAGACTGAGGGAACTGAGCATCCACGATCCCAACGCACATTTAATCCGAGGCAGCAAAGGCTCACAGGCTCATTTCATACACAGGCACAGTCACTCACAATATTAACATTGTTTTCCTTTCTCTGTTCTTCCCCAAGCGCAGTTTAACTGTCCTCAGTGAAACATAAACAGGCTTGTGTTTGGGCACCGGGAAAACCTACTCTGAAGTGGGGAGTAACTTAGGCTATGGGGACTGAGGGAGCAGCGGAACAACCTACAGGAGGGCAAACGACGGAACAGTTGCCCCAAAGGCACCAACACCAGTGACCTGATTAAGCCACGACACCCTGGTTAGTTGTTGTTATTATTAATCACTAACATTCACTGAAGGCTCATCATCATAACATTACGGAAACCTTGCCATTTGCCACACACTACACTCTGTATATGATTTTCCTAGATGTTTCCACGTCAGCATAAGGTGAAATAAGCCTAGAAACGTGGGTACGTTATTAGTTCTATTTTACAGATGGAGAAACGGGCTGAGTGGTTGGCCAAGGTCACCCAAGTAGCCAGCGGAAGGAATGGGAATCTAACCTAGCTGGCCTGGCTTCAGCCCCGTAATCTTACTTGTTAGGCCACAGTGCCTGCCCCAGCAGGTGAAGGATGATTTGCACTTATCTCTAAGGGCTCTTTCAGCTCTAACATTCTATCATTTGCTTTAATGAATCTATGACAAAGCATTCAACAAGCCCAGAAATCTCAAACTGCACACAGCAAAATAAAGAAACTCCATAAAATCTCTTTACATGACCTGAAA